ATAGAAACGCACAGGTAGTATGTACTTCATTGAACCTGACTTCACAAAAAAATCCTGTAATAAATTGGATATATGTTTTTTGAAAATGGTGGTGGACTAATATCGACAAACGGTGCGTCAAAACAAAGCCATTGTCGATTTGCAATGTCTTAGATGACATTGTTTTCACACTTGTCAAGGAGGAAAACAGTAAAGCAAAATGTACGTGCAAGTTATAGCATTCGTAGCTCGTGGTCGTGGCTATGAAAAGGCAAGCATAATCCAATAATTTGTCATTTAATTGTCAACATTTGTCAAGATCGAAAATGCCGGGACTCAGCGCTGCCGATCTGAACATCGCCATAGGACGTATCCAAAGAGGGGAATCACAGTCTTCTGTTGCACGCCACTTCAGCGTCCGGTACAGCACCATTTGCCGCCTTTGTGACCGATACACACAGTTCAATTCCACTGTAGGCCGTCCGAGTACCGGCCGACCAGGAGTTACCACCCCTGCACAGGATCGCAACTTTCGACTGTTCCACCTACGTTATCGTAAAATCCGACCAAGAAGACCATTTATCGTCCCTGTTTTGCAACAGATCCATCGACAGCGACGCTTGCGTTGGTGTCATACCTTACAGACTTGATAAACTGGAGACGATTGTGGTTATAATTAGCGATGAATCACGATTTCTTCTTCACCGGCGAGATGGAAGACAACGTGTTTATCATCGTCGAAATGAGCGTTTTTCCCCACATTGAGTATGTGAAGTCAACAATTTCGGTCGCGGTAGTGTCATGGTGTTGGGGCAATATCCTACGCTACGAGATCTGACTTGGTTGTGGTTCAGGGAAATGTGACAGCAAATCGCTACATGAATCAAATTGTTCAATCTCGCCTTCTTCCAATCATTGACTCAACAGGAAAACGCTCCACCGGGCACAGCCCATGTCACGGTATACTACCTTCATAATGCCAACATCAACGTTTTGCCCTGGCCGTCGAGATCTCCAGATCTCAACCCAATCGAACACCTCTGGGATGAACTCGACAGACATGTACGTCAACGTCAGAACACGCTGCAAACACTCCCCTAACTGTCAAACGCGTTACAAGCAGAATGGCGCAGAATTCCGCAGGACAGGATTCGTAAACTTATTCAGTCAGTGCCGAGAAGATGCAGAGCCGTGATTGCTGCCCGGGACGGTCACACGAGATACACGAGCTCAGCGCAACCTTGTGGCCTTATGTGACATGACAATGAACAATTTTCAATGCCTTTGTACAAAGACAACATGTGACTATCGAGCTCCAAAATTTCATATGTGTATCAGTAATTATTAAATATATCGACTTTATTAGGTACAATACATTTACTAAAAATCTACCTGTGCGTTTCTTCTTTTGAAGAGTGTATGTTGCACTTATTTGTGTTGCGTTCCCCTTGTATATTGGGTGCCGAATATTTGGCGTTTGTAAATATACTTGTGTTGCCAAACAACATTTCTCTACAATGTACTATCAATGTCTTCCTTATAACCAACACCTTGATCACCACTGCCTCGTTTGCTGTTCAAAGAAAGAACAAACTGCTCATTGCCACGTCTGCCTTGCACCGACGTCAACACATACATGTGCCAGATCACAGATTACAATGCAGGGGTAATATCACAGTTAAAATAACACAAGTTACACAAGTATCAATCTTAATTTGTGTCACGTTAGAACGACTGATTTGCATGTAGCATGAATATTTAATTCAAGTTGGCATATTCGGATTCACTCACCTATCTCTGTGTACATTTCCTGCGAGAGGTTGGTGATGGCCTTGTTCACAGGCTACCATTTCAGTATGACAGATGATGTCGCATTGAGGAGAATACAAACTACAATATACTGCCTTAATTGACCGATCACAATTTTATAGCGGTACACCAGCTATTGCCCACTGAGATGCAATACCGAACTTTAACATGAATACCCCGCTCACACGCAGTATACTTGTTTTAGCTCCTAACGTTCGAGCGCCATCTTTTAACGTCTCATGGTATGAGTAAATGAGTGAGTGAGTGAGTTGGGTTTAACGCCGCTTTTAACAGTATTCCAGTTATATCGCGGCGTGTCAGCTTAATGTGGGGGCAAAGCCCGAAGTGAGGCAGGTCTAAGACGTTTACCACTTCGGTGAAACCCACGATCACGGGTATGGTACTGACAAACCTAGAAACATAATCGGGGCGAACCGGGATTCGAACCCACAATCATAGTTTTCTGGCGTGCCCAAGGGACGCAACTCTGCACAGCGAATCGCGGCGCCTCAGACGACTGGGCCACCCGTGCCCCTCTCTTGGTATGACGCAGCTGGTGATCGAACCATGCACCTGCCGCTCTCCGGTCGGATGCTTTACCCCTCAAGACAACCGATTGGATTGAAGTGAGAAGAAAAATGCATCCCTACCAGTGTGTGATGTCTTAGCGTGAATGTGATGTCTTGTTATTTGATTCACTGGTAATAAACAGTTTGGCCTTTTTCAAAGATATGATTTAGTAGGTGCAATAGGATTACAGACACATGAAGATCCGGAATAGAATTGGTTTTCAGCCACCCATGCTTGTGGTCGGGGGTGATTGACTGGATCAAGGGGTCAGGCTCGCATGTCATCGTATCCTAATTGGGTAGATCTATGCTCATGACGTTTATCACTGGATTGTGTGGTTTATTTGTTGTTTAACGCCGCACTCAGCAATATTCTATGTAGCGGCGGCCTGTAAATAACCGAGTCTGGAGCAGACAAATCAAGTCATTGACATCATGAGAATCGATCCACGCAATTGGAATACGAAGACATGCATCAACCAAGTCAGCGAGTCTGACCACCCGATCCCGTTAGTCGCCTCTTAGGACAATCATGGGATTGCTGAAGGCCTATTCTACCCCGGATAGATTGTGTGGTCCAGACTTGATTATTTTCGAACAACTGGAATATCAATAGACAAACATCAGGATCACATCAACGGAGGCGGAGAATGGCGATCACTATTTATGTTTAATGAAAAGTGAGGGAGCAATATTACAGCAATATCACGGCGGGGAACACCAGAAATGTGTTTCACACATTGTACCCATGTCGGGAATCGAACCCGGGTCTTCGGTGTGACGACCGAACGCTTTAACCACTAGGCTACCCGACCGCCCACCAACTCAACAAGCCTGACCACCCGACCCCCTTAATAGCGTCTTCTAAACTGGGTCTTCACGTGTGTCACTGTTAAGTACCTATTAAAATACTGTGAATCTTTACCGTTAGTAGCACACAGGATGCGTTATAGATTCGAAATAAAGAGATAATTCTTTGTCAATATTGACTTTTCTTTGTTCAATGACATCTTCGCATCGGGTCTTCAGGATGACGAGCGAATGCTTTAACACTGGCCTACCAGTATCAGAACATCATCATGGGCATGTTCACACCTTCACCTTAATTCAAACATGTATAAATATTCCAGTTGGAATATAAGAGACATGCCGTTACTTTGTTTAGCCCTGACAAGACACAAACGTGCAAAGTTGACGGCAATAACGGAATGGTAATAAAAGTTTGTTTCATTTTAATGTTTTATGAAAGTGAATTGATGATGATACCTCTTTACAACACTACTGATTTAAAAACAGACATTGTCTGTCATGTTAATAGATTGAATTATAAATTCACTGTGGTATAAAATCATTAAATATCAATTGAAAAAAACGAAACAGCTTTGATCATATTTGTCTCTTTGTCTTCATTTTACTTTCATTATGCTATTGGTTTTAAACTGATGTTAGAATTGATTAGCTTTAAGATTTACAAAGACTAAATTTAAGCCCACAAAATATCAAAGCAATCATCGACATTATTTCTAATTATTAAGGATTTAATTTTAAAACCACTTCAGAACAGTATTAAATTAAATTTACTATGTTCACAGAATATAAAACGGTGAAACAGATTCAAGTGGATCTAAAAGGCAAAATAATGGTAGCATTATGTGAATGAAGCACTTAAAATAAGAATTTTTGGGGAAAGGTTGAGCATGTCCGTGAAGAACATCATTAAAGTCCTTATGCCGTTTTATTTAGGGTTGACTGTGGCGAGTTACATCACAATTTGCAACCCTATAATTTATAGTATTACAAGGACTCATACATTCTTAATATGATGAGGGTTCGCGGTGTGGGGAACATCTGAAGTGTTCAAGATTAGTTTAAAAATAATTCAAAAGTTTCAAAGGCGTTTTGTCGGGGATTGCATATGAGTGTTTCCACGATTACACATCCCACTTAATGACACTTCACGACCATTACCCCCAGAGGCGAAAGCGTATCGAACGGTTATGTAAAATCTGCAACTTCCCAGGCTTTGCAGGTGACTTCCAATATTAATTTCGATGCAAAGATTTCACGAACAAAGTGTAGTCAATATTGACAAAGAATTATCTCTGTCCAAACAGTTCGAATTTATAACGCATCCTGTGTGCTACTAACGGTAAAGTATTTTAATAGGTACTCAACAGTGACACACGTGAAGACCCGGTTTAGAAGACGCTATTAAGGGGGTCGGGTGGTCAGGCTTGTTGAGTTGGTGGGCGGTCGGGTAGCCTAGTGGTCGTCGGTTCGCTCGTCACGCCGAAGACCCGGGTTCGATGCCCGACATGGGTACAATGTGTGAAGCCCATTTCTGGTGTCCACCGCCGTGATATTCCTGGAATATTGCTAAAAGCGGCGTACAACCTCACTCATTCACTGTTGAGTTGGTTGTTCCATGTCATCGTATCCCAATTGCTCATTTCTATGCCTATGGAGTCAATCGGCCGCGGGTGATTGTCTGGACTGGATTCGATAGTTCCAGATCGCCGCAATATGTATCTTGAATGTTGCCGACAATGCGTCGACAATAGTAACAGTGATAACCCTAACAGTTTACTATAGGCTGAACAGATTGGGGCTGGCTTGGCAACACCAGGGACAGGTTGTGAGCCAATGGCGTTACATCATGTCTACGGAGATTTTGCCTTCGTTTTACAGATGACAGAAAATGGTGCTGGCGACGTAGAGGCGAGCGGTCTGCCAGGGCAACACTTCTTGACCATGATCGATATAGGATCGGTATCACACATGACAGGCGAACTGTTTTGGTTATTGTGAATTGACTTTTGACTTGGAAGTGATCTGTTGACGACATTTGCGTTGAACTCGCTGGAGTTATCGGCAACAATTTTGAACGCCAAGATGACAATGCCAGACCAATTATCTCCGACGAGAAGGCTTACGGACATAGTACTGGCCCGCTATGTCACCTGATGTGTCCCCAACAGAGCACCTGTGAGATGTTCTCGGGCCGAGGGTGTATGTCAGAGAGTCAGAACCCGCCAAAGTTGCCCGGCTTGAGGTAGCTCTTCAGGCAGCTGTTCGGGCCGAATTGCGGGCGATACCTGGGGCTGAACTTAATCATTCGAGGTGCCGTGCACCTATCGCCCGATGTGGTCGACAAACATGATTAGCTGAACCTTCACTTTAATCATAATCTCGGGTGAGGTGAAATGTCGTTTAACGTCGCGTCCAGGACTAACGTGCAAGCAAGTGTGTGTGTTTGTGTGGCTGTTTGTACTTATCCGGGCTGATGCCGTGTTATAGCGCCAGCCCACTGAGATACATACAGTGCCGCAGTTTTACATGAATACCCCTCTCAGACACAGTATACTCCCAGCCGACCAGTCCTTTATCCCTGTAATGTCGATCGCTAGGCAGGGTGACAACAAGTACCATATTTGAACGTCTTTTGGTATGACGCGGCCGGGGATCGAACCCATGACGCCCTACCACGAAGGTTTCCTTATGTTTTGTCGGTATTATATAAAGTTAGAACTCATCATATCCTCTGTCGTGTCAGCTTGGAACATTGTTATAAAGGAACGTAAGCCCAATTCACTCACTCCAGATGTGACCGCCTCCGTGGTCTTGTGGTAGAGCGTCCGCCCGGAGAGCGGAAGGTCCAGGGTTCGATCCCGGGCCGCGTCATACAAAAAGACGTTAAAAGATTGTACTTGTTGTTACCCTGTCTGGCGCTCGGCATTAATAGGCTAAAACAAGGACTGGTCGGCTCGGAGTCAGTATACTGTGTCTGAGTGGGGTATTCACGTTAAACTGCGGCATGGCATCTCAGTGAGCTAGCACTATAAATCGGCATCAGTCCGGACTAGTACAAGCAGCCACACATACACGTGCATGCACGTCGCTATATAAGTGCAATAATCTTGGACGCGACGTTAAACCCAATTTCACCTCACCTCACTCCAGATGTAATGTTAAAGAGTTGGGGTGAAATGGGGTTTAACGCGCGTGTTGTTGTGTGTGTTTGTGTGGCTTCTTGTGCGGGTCTGGACTGCTCACTAATATACATTGCCCACTCAGACTCCGAGCTGACCAGTCCGAGCGCCAGACAGGGTAACAACAAGTACCATTTTTTTTTAACGTCTTTTGTCTTTCGATGCGGCCGGGGATCGAACCCCGAACCTTCCGTTCTCCGGGCGGACGCTCTGCCACTAGACCACGGAGGCGGTCCGTATGTTAAAGAAATAAGTGAGGGGCAGTCACGAGAAATAGTCAGTGACGGCCGGGGCAGTCGGATAGCAAGTGGTTAAAGCGTCAGCTCACAACGCCGAAGCACCGGGTGCGATTCACCACATGGATACAAAGTATAACGCCCATTTCTGCTGTCCCTCGCTGTGATATTGCTGGAAGATTGCTGAAGGCGGCATAAAATCGTATTTCCTCATACACTCCATATAAACTGTCCGCTGAATGAATTTGAACAGAAAATATTAAAACAGATATTAAATTGTCCATTAACGTTCCTTAAGTATGTAAAACTACTAAGAAGCTCTAAATAGATCAAATCAACATGTGGCTACTTCCTACCCCCTCCCCCCTCCAAAATTGTGGCCGGAATGTTAATATTGTCACAAATGGAATGGTAGGCCTTGAGTGGAGGGGTCGTTATCTCTCAACATACACTCCCCCCCGACTGCTCGCCACATCCAGACTCGACTGACGAGCTTCTGATGACAAGTGGCATTCAGAGTGTAATCTCATCACTTAAACAACCATTCTCATCACGATACGACTTCATTTGTGTACCAATAGAAAGGCTGCATTGCAAGTAGGATGAATGTCTTATTAAAAGACAATGAATGCGGATTTACAATTCCTTAATCGTAATCCCTGTCTGCAGAAGCAGTTATTTCGAAATGACTGTTTTGTGTTCGTTGTTAAGTTTAATGGAATTGCCAAAACATATTTACTTTTTGACAAAATACAGAAGAAAGTGACCCCTTACCTCCACTAGTAGCTTTACCGTTACTCGAATGAATGAAGTGTGGACAGTAGCGGATATTATCAGCTGATCATTTGATATGTGTATTCGTCGTTTCTTCCTCGTTTCCTATCACCCCCGAGATGTTCATTCCAAACACTTAACTGATACACTACTAATCGTGATCCATTGAAAGCGTGGTAGAAACATGTAAAGATATTACATCATTCTTCATTTATCTTACACAAGTCTAAAGAGGTATACGAGTCCCTGAAGATTGAACTGATTCTGTTCCTGTGTCACAGAGTATCCAACCAGTTTCCACTAATTCTATGGTTCTTTTCACACAATAAGAGAAAAAAACATCAAAGATACGCCCTTCAATTCTGAAATAAAATATATCGAACGGGTAGTTTCGGATATAATAAATGTTAGTCATGCATATGCATTGTTTTGATCTGTGAACAAATAGCATTATAGACTGTTAAATGTCGCGAGTAACCTAGCATCATCGTGTTCTCGGAAGAGGACATATTCAAAAATATCAACTGAATTAACGTTTTTCTCTCGAAAAACTTGTCAAAAGAGGCAACTGATGGGATCGTGTGGTCAGGATCCCAGACTTGGTTGATGCATTTCATCGTATCCAAATTGCGTGGATCGGTGCTCATGATGTCGATCACTGTACTGTCTTGTCCAGACTCGCTTATTTGCAGACCGCCGTCATATAGCTGGAATACTACTGAGTGCGGCGTTTAACAAACATCCATCCATCCATCCATACATGTACTATTTTTTTAAATATCTTTTACAAATAAATTCTTGAGACAACAAAGCACAGAAAACAGTTCTTTAACCGGGAGTGGTGACTGATGTCCTCCTCTAATCCACAGTAAACCTGCACTAGGACTAACCCAATCACGTATTGATAACACACAATCTGTTAAAGTACGAAGGGTTTACAAGACGCAAAGCAAAGTATTTCAAGCAATCATGGAAGAGATGGTGACTAATTAGTCGGCTGGTGTGTGAGTGCTGGGCAATGACCGAAGACTTATCACAGAGGAAGTGTTGACTTCTGTCACGAACGACTTCATCTGTTGACTAACTGGTCTGTTTCTTGACAGAAAATCTGAACATTTACGGCAGTAAAACAGTCAACATAGCTACTGCAATTGATGTATTCCGGATTAAAGCGGAACGTATTGTTTTTGAAATATACTGCCTTGTTTGCAACTGAAGGGCACAAATAATATCACTGTCTGACTGCTTGTCTGTGCGTGTCTGCCTGCCTGCCTGCCTGTCTGTCTTTCTGTCTGTATTCAAGGGAAGTATTTTCGTTTACATGTACTGCTCAGTTGTCTTCTGAAAGGGACAAAGTCTGTCTGTCTGTCTGTCTGCCTTGTCGACTTCCACATATACTGCAAATGTAACAGTCGAGCAGAAAACACACATGTATATATCTGGATGTAATTTGAAATTTGCAAAGATAGACTGAAAATATTGCAATCTGCAAATATATGAATTGAGTCGTCTGCATATGCATGTTCTTGAAACAACTACATAACCTCGCAGGACCATCTGAGCACTTTTAGCCATGTCCGCCCAGATTCACTCATCATAATGCATTCATTTTATACATAAAATTACAAAAGGGGTAATTTTTGAGTGAGCGAGTGAGTTGGTGAGTGTGGTGTTACGGCACTTTCAGCAATATTCCAACAAGTAGAGGACACCTGATATGGCCTTCACTCATTGTACCTATTTGGGGAGCCCAGGCCTCCGGGATGCCCCACCACCCCTGGTCCTTTTGAAGTTTTCATCAAATCAGATGATTGTTCATTTACACAATGAAAAAAAAAAAGATCCAAGGATGAGATCACGATGTCCTCACAGATTCCATGTTGTTAAGAGATATATGTAAGTTATAAATGAAGGTAAAATCATTAAATTGTAGTTGGTTGTCTGGACCGTTGCCTACCCTTGAAACTATGTATATATGGTGGGCAGTTATAATTGAATTTAATTCCTAAGGACAGACTTCGGATATATATCGAAAGAGATTTCATAGGTATCAAAGGCAAATACTAATGGACATTATTTGATCCGAGCTCTGAAAATCACGAAAAAGGTAATCTTATCCTGCTCTTAGGATAGCATCCTCAACTCACACAACTGTCATTAAAGTAGGAACTGTCAGTGTAGAGATGGGAAAAACTGCAGATAGAGATCGGCATGTATATGATAAAACTTTTGACCATAATGTCATAGAAACGATTTCATCAACTGGACGGACGAGTGTTTGGGTGTAGATTCTGACCCCTTTCATCAATATTCGTGCAAAATCAAAGCAGGAAACACGAGAAAGGTGCTTTATACATGGGACACATCTGGGTAATCAAACCTAAGTCTTAAGTGTGAAGAGTGAAGATTTAATTTCAAATTTACCTCCCACCCTTTACGGATGATGAGAAAATCCGTGTCAGCGTGTCAGCAGTTCTTTGAAACATCTTATCAACCATTTGAGGATCGCTGGTATCGTCTTTGTCCTTTATCGTTTCAAACAAAAGTGTTTTATTGACATTAATCAAATTTCTCAAACAACTGATTTAAAACCAATTTCACTAAAAAAATGTTCTTTTAATAAAAAAGACATCAACTGCTTTGATCATAGTTATCGTCCCTTTTCAAACGGATTATGTTTTTCCTTTGCCGATATAATTAATTGATCAGATTGTGATTGTAAAAAAAAGAATAGAATAATGTGAGAATGGAATATAATAAATAAGTGAAAGATAATGCATGTTTCAATAATGTTTTAATAAGGTGTGTGAGGTTCAGTGTATCTTAATTTACTTTGCAAATTGATTACATTATTGTAAAATAAATGATTTCCTTGTGCTGGTGGCCATGAACACAGAAATACAGCATATCGATGATATACTGTAATCAATCATTAGGAACATAACAAGAAATATAAATACATGAGAGTTAACTCCTATAGGCTGGAGACAACAGTTAGGCAAATAGTGATTCGATTACAGAGGCCTTCACAGGCAAGTGACAACAGTTAGGCA